AGCAAGATTATTTTACTCTTTCTTTATCTGACAAGGCAAGCAAGAGAAATATCAGAATATCATGTTTATTTCAGAGGTAAACTTCTTTGAATAGTGAGATTTCCCACGTCCAGTGAATAAATGGAATATTATTATCAATATTATTTCAAATATTCAATTGTATTAATAATTATTATAAATGCTTTTATAATGTTATAAATATAATTTTTTTGACAGAAGTTATTAATAGAGATTGTCGCGTCTAATGCCGAACTTATAATAATATTGTCAAATAAGCTTTTCATGATATATCTTTTCCACTACGTAGTAGTTTCCTTTATACTATTTTTTTATTTCGGAATGTAAAGATTTTTTTCCCCCATTTTGCCATTTTAATTTTACTATATTTATAGAACTTTAGCAGATTAGGTTTTATGATAAACTTTTTTTTACATAGGAGTAAAGTATAAAATGCACTCATGCAACTAACAAATTAAAAAGCGTATAAGATAACATAATTTTATGTTTTTCCATTTATCTTTTATATACTAAGAACTTTGTGATTCGTGAAGATAAAAAATTTCGTTCTTCTAATCACTTCAGTTCAGACGTGAATTTAATTTGAAGAACAATTATGTTAGCTACTATATATTACAACAAAAAATTGAATAATGTACTCTTTTTTATATGTTCGCATATGTCTCTTTCTAATGATAATTTCTTTTCCTTGTCAGTTTCATCAGTCACTCCATATTGTAAATTGAAGAATCGAATATTTATTCAACATTAGTTCAACGTTTGTGTAAGGCACATATACTCTTCTTAGTCACTTTACGGCGCTCATTAATATAATCTCGTTCCATCGTCTTCCCAAAATGGAACTAGAGATACATTCAAAAGATCTAGATTTTAATTTTTTACATCTTACAAATTTTCACTTCGCTATTGTGTCATGTACAATGTAATTCCTTTGTAATCGACTTCATAATCGTATTATTACATTGTTCAATTTTTCTTCAAGTTCTCAAACAAATAATAAAACGTCATAACAATATGATACAGATATTCCAAAATGTATTTCTTCCATATTAGATTACATTAGCTATTTCCATACAACTGAAAGTAGTTCCTTGCTACTTTCATAATGTTTATGAACAACATTTTAGATATTGATAGTTCTCAAGTTTGAATTAACATCTATATAAATATTTTGTATTCATTTATTTAATTAATAGTTTAGTTAATTCAATTCGCATTCACCTTTAACCCTAAGTTTTTACAATTTTATCGTGTTGATGTGCAAGCTCCAAAGTGTTGGTATGTTTCTGAAATGTAAAATGATTATAGTTCGTTAGAGAATAAATAGAAATTTGGTAATTTCCTTTTGCATGAATTTTAATAAAATTATGTGCCTCGTTATTACAAAGCATAATACATTTTACTTTTAAAATTGTAACTAAAATGAATATAATTCGAAGGAAGTATAGTTTTGAATTTTGCTGAATGTTAAAAAGAAGGAAAGGAGAAAGAAAGAAAATAAAATAATTAATTAATTAATTAAAGGTCAATTCCACAGTGCTCCCCGTGCACTCACGGGGAGTTCCCTTCTCCCCGTGCGAGCATGGGGAGTTCCCTGCTCCCCGTGCACCCACGAGAAGTTCCCTTCTCCCTGTGCGGGAACTCCCTATGCGCACACGGGGAGTTAGCTGCTCCCCCGTGTGCGCACAGAGAGTTTGCCTCTCTCCGTGCACGCACAGGGGGTTTGTCTTATTGAAGTATCCGTATGTAAGAAAGCTAAGGAAGAAATCTGCAATGTAAAAGCTAAGGAAGAAGTTCGCAATCAGATCAGGTGTGACAATGAAACCACATTTACCGGTGCTAAAAGAGCAGTTGTAGAAGCGGCATCAATACGTATGATGCACGGTAAAACCAGGGTAATTTAAAATATTTTGTAATTCAAATTTTCATCTTTTTGTTTCACGTAAATTTATATATAATAAAGATAATCTGAAATCACTTTTGAATGGAATTCTATATGTAAAAATTATGCATGCAACACAGGTTACGGCGTAATGAGTAATCTAGATTGGTAAATCTTTGAAATGTATAAGGAGGTAGAATGGAACAGATACATTTTTTTATGTATGGTGTAAAGCATTCATATTTTTAAAACCAATATCAAATTAGTTCAAGTGTACAAAGTTAAAATTTAAAGATACGAAATTAATAGATTGTAAAGGCACGGAACGACAAACGTTTATATGCAACGGCAATCCGTATACAAAGAGGACAACATTTCTTATAATTTTCACGCAAAAACAAAAACCCCATAACAACTTCTTCACCTGATAGTCTCAAAGGTAAGAACTTATTGGTAACTGATAAAGTTCTGCATGAGAGTTCTATACACAGACATATTAGGTGAGGTTGTTTTTACTGCGTATTCCTGCAAAAGAAAAGTAGACTTCGTTCATTTTTTTTTTTTGAGCATGAGGAGATTGGGTTGTCACTGATTTCAGAACCTTTGTGAGCCTTCTTCTGTAACTTCGAATCTGCTTCAACAATATCATCTGATCGAAAGAGAGACCTTTTTGGATTTGTTGTAGTTACTGCTCGGGTATTTTTGAATGTTTCAGTAGTTAAGGTATGTGTCTTTTCTTTGCCGTGTGTGTGTTTGTTGTCTACATTTTCTTCTCATTCAGCTGTAGTGTTCACAGTAAGTATGTTAGCCAAAGGATTTGTTTTACTGATTGCAATTGAAGGTTGATTGTCAATCATTGTCCCTGAAGAGTCGAACGCAAAGATAATTTCGAAATGGCATTCAGAAGGGTTTTGCCGCTTTTGTGTCACTTTCAGATAAAATAGCTAATCTGTTTCACTTTCAGTTTCCATAAAAGTGTTGATGTCTACATTTGGTTCCTGCAATAGGACAAATATGTTTGAATAGCAAATATTGAAGTGTGGAACAAATAATGTCTAGGCGTGTTAGAACTTAAATTTTACCTTTTCGAAATGGGTCATTATGGCATTCCCAGTAGTTTGTAATAAAGTTTCTGCGGCCTTTCCTATGATACTTGCATTTAACGATC